AAGACAGATTCTGCTGTTTTCATAGTTCTTTAGCATCCTGCAATAGCAAGTAAATAACATAATAGTATACTTGGGCATAACAATTAGGGATGTCCCGATCACCTTTTTTTGCTTCCGATCATTTGATTTTGACAATTTGCCGATACCGATTTTTCCCGATCCGATCTTTATGCAATGCATTAAGAGCATTAAGAGAAAAAAAAGCATTCAAGTTGTCCCTTAAGGTTATTTTTTTATTTAAATTGGATATTCTATCCAACATGGATATAGCTTCTTTCTTTCACAGCAGCATTGGATCAGTTCAGTTGTGCAGCATTGGATCAAAACAAAATAAAGCTTATCAGTACTCGTTAGCTTACTGCTAAATTAGACACTGCGCCCACTCTGTTGCCAGATTTGAGAGAAATAAACAACCAGGTCTATGAAAACAAGCCCCAAAGAAGCAACACATACATGATGTTGTGTAATTTGAAACCAAAACTAAGTCCTCAGGATGACTTTAAGAGTTGAACATGGTCATTTTTGTTTTGTAGCATTGAATACAAAATTTTAAAAAAAGTATTTAAAAAAAAAAAAAAATCCCGATCCCCGATTGTTTTCCTCCCGATTCCGATCTTTTGAAAATCACGTGATCGGCTCCGATCCCCGATCACGTGATCGGATCGGGACATCTCTAATTTCTAACCATAGTGGATATCTCCGTTCCCTTCTCACCTAGAAGACATCAGCCAAACTAAGCTTCTTCACTAACAGCATGTTACCAGAGCATCTTATTTTACAATTTCTGTCTCCATGTAGAAAACTTTTCAATCAAGAAGCCAGTGGAGATGGCAAAACCTGACCTTCCACCTGTAGAGGCAGCCCGACTCGTCGAGAGGGACCCCCCCGAGGCCCCGCAGATTAAAGGACCGGTGGAGCTACCAGAGAAGAAGGGGGAGGAGGTGCAGTTGGACCGCCCTGACGCCGGTAAGGAAACTGACACAGCTGAAATCTCCACTGGATTTTTGAGCTGCGTAGGATAATTATTCTTCAATGTCCCAGGTGTTGCGGTGCCGGAAGGCGAGGCGCACCGCCATGAGCCCCCCATCCCTCATGACGCCGTGCCGGTGGACACAAGGAAGAACAACGCAGAGCTGGAGGAGGACCAGAAACTACCGAAAGAACCAAAAGAAAATGAAAAGCAAGTTTTAGGGCACTCTGAGGAGGTGGAGGGCAAGAAGGACGACATCAATGGAGACAAAGTGAAGCCTGTAAAGGACATCGTGGGCAAAGAGGAAGTGGATCTGGGCGGAGGTGAAGCCCGGTCCAATGAGGTGTTGGAGAAGCCGGTTGCAGAGAAAGACAAAAAGCGAGACGTTCCCCCGCTGAAGGAAGGTGAGAAGCTCGACCCGGTGAAAGACCCTCTGCAAGGGAACGCAGCCGAGTTGGGGGATAAAGCTGGAAAAGCTCCGGACGCTGCGGGGAAACGTGAGTGTATTCTCTGTTTTCCACATATGGGCAGACGGTTGGAGAAACAGTTCCAATGCAACGATAACCTGTGATATTTGTTGATCCTTTAGCGCCACTTGCTGAAGGAGAGCATCATGCTGCGGACGGGGCTCCAGGGGCAGAGAGCAAAGACACAGCGGACGAGAAGATGGACGGTGAGCGGATTCAGGGGCGTTGACATGAGCTCATAGTCTGTGGTCACTAAGTTAGCAGCAGTTTCAAAGAAGTTGCACTGAAAATGTGTAATGTATTTATATTTGTTTTATTTATAAACT